TAATACTACTACTCATGTTAATATGCGTAGTATGATTGGTTGTTAATAGTTAATAAAGGATTTTTCGTATTTAGTAATAAGATATGTTAATATTTCGATGTTAATAGGACATCTATAATCCAATGTGAAAATTATTGCAAACAAATTTTAGTTCTTCGAAAGAAAAAAAATTCTTCTGAAATTGTGAGAAAAAATTCGAACAAATTCATCGAATAGTTCCAAAGGCATTCTCAAAAGTTGGAATTGAGACTAACGGATTGATGGATAACAAAGACACAGATAACGGAGGTGGTACTGTTGGTCGGGTTGGTGATAAACAATTACCTTTGGATTTGCTATAAAATTCCTGTATCCGCTCACGAGCGTACAGACCTCTGGCAGATCACCTAATAGCCGGAGATCACACAAAGGAAAAAAATATATACTTGATTTTGAAATGGTGAACTTATAATTTATATAAACACTTACCATGATCATAGGTTGTGAGGCCAAGAAGCTTTTTATTGCCAAATTTATCTTCAATAATAACCGGACCTAAATTCAATTTTTCTCAAATTAAACTCATTTCTTATGTTCAGTAAAAAAAATATGTTCTTACCGCCCGAGTCACCTGAATTTCATTTCGATGAAAAATTGTACGATAATTTAACTGAAACCAAAAAAATTTTGTTCGGTAAAAAACCTGAATTTGTAACATGCTTAGATCCAAACTCTAAACAGATGCAAAACTCTTTTCGTAGATTCAAGAGTGGTTCATCTGGTTTTGCCGCGGCATACATGGATTTACATGTATCAAACCTATGAACCTTTTGAATAAATTGGAATATTTTAACAAGTCTCCAAGTAGTAGTTCCAAACAATTATTTAATTTTTATAAGAAAAAAACGAACCATTGATTGAACCCATCGCAATTTACTTGGTGTACATTTTCTGCCAATTGCCTCAGATGATTCGGTATAACCTAATTATTATTTGAAACATCAATAGCTGAGGAACCCACTGATTATTTTAATAATTTACCTAATATAGTTACTACATCGGCGTTATGAAAAGATGAGTCCGGAATATAGTCTTTTTCAACCATTTCGATTCTACCGATTGTTTTGCCGAATGGTAGTGGCTCTTTTAATTCAATCACACCGATATCATGCTTGTTCAGTTCATCAACATATCCTGGATATGTTGTAAAATCTTCGGAAGTTACAACAACAGCATAACTGCTATTGCTCAGGTCGACCGACCCAAATGCTAAAGAAAATGTTATTAGCTCAAATCGAGTATATTAAGTATAAATTATTATCTGATATTTTACCCAATGTGAGAGAACTTCTTCCAAATAAACAATGAGCGGCTATTGTGTGAACAATTTCGTTACTTTGGAATTTCTAACGACAAATATCGATGAACCTTACCTGTTAGAATTTTATATTTCGACACAATAACCCCCGTGCATCCATAGAATCTGAAAATTGACCGGTTTACTTTTTTATTTATTAGAATTCCCGTCTGATTCAGTCATTGATGATCAAAGGTGCATCATTTTTTGGGGAAAATATGGAAGAGCATTTTTAATTGAAAAAATGATAATTTAATTGTTATTGAACATTATCCAACATACTACGTATTTGTGTTGAGTTATATCCTTAACCAATTCGCCGTCAATAATTGCCTCTACACCAAAACCAACTGAAAGCACATTTTAAGAAAAGAAACTGGTTGCGTATAACTATTTTTGCGGATTATCCATGTACACAAATCAAAACAAACTTACATTTTCCAGAAAAGTCCTATGAAATGGAAAATATTTCGGCAAATCCAAAGGGTTAAAGAGTAAAAAGAAAGTACAGAAAAGTAATAAATACAGTGGAAAGTAAAATCACTCACCGAAATTACGAAAAATAAAGCAAAAAGTAAGAGAAACAACTTCATTTTATTTGTGAACAGAATAAAGGTGTAAAAAGTATGAAAATTTCAACTCAAAAATGCTCAGAATCGTATGTGCACTGACACTGTTAGAGCCGCTTTTTATAACCATCAGTTCTTATTTCAAAGTAATTAAAATTGTATATGAACACTTATAAATTCTTATTGTAATAATTGAATATTTGAATGGGGTAGAATAAAAACTACTTCTCGAAAAATGTTTAAACACGAAACCTAAAAAAAAATTTCAATAAAAAGTGAATCAATTTTTTTTTGTCCAATTGAAGTGAACCAAAAAAAATTTGTTCAATAAAAGTGAGCCTAACAAAAATATTCATTTTAGTGTATTTTACACTGAAAAAACCGAGTGAAATTTTTTTTTTGGTTCACTTTTATTGAACAAAATTTTTTTGATTCACTTCAATTGGACAAAAAAAAATTGATTCACTTTTTATTGAAATTTTTTTTAGGTTTCGTTTTTAAATACCAATTTTTCGAGAAGTAGTTTTTATTCTACCCCATTCATTTATTCATTGAAATGAATACGATATCTATTTGAACAGTTGGAATTTACTTAATTTAAAAATGTTTACGTCAATTGTTTTTACCATAGGTGATGACGAGGGTTCCTAGGGTTCGGATTATCCCCCTCTAAAATATTTTCAGGAACCGTCAATAATTTTGGAATTGAGGACCTTTTTTGTTCTTCACTTTTTTTGGCCGAGAAAATTCTTTCGATTTGCTAGGGTTTTTCGCCAAAAAAGTGAAGAGCACAAAAAAAACGATTCTATCCTCATTTCCTACAAATTGTTGACATCGTCAGGGACCTCCCATGGATTTTTCCAGGAACTCCAAACGGAATTTTGCCATCAAACTCCACACCCCCCTAAAAAAAATTCCGTCAATCTATGGTTTTTACTCCGTATATGATAGAAAGTGTATTTCACAATGGGCAGACTTGCTAATAATAAGTAATGCGAACGCAGCGCTAAAATGTACAACTCTTTCACATCTAACAGCGTCGAATTTGAAAATAACAAAAATACACACACACTGCATAAACTAGGGATTGTTCCAACAAATTGAGAATGCAAAACAATACGACAGAGTATGGCACTGCATTCGCATCAAATTTAGATTGTATGTGAATGTCATGAGCTTGATTCCATCTGAGGAGGAAAAATGGCGTCAATATTAGGTAGTCTTGGAGCAGACATTGTTTTGAGATATATTTAGCCAGTTAAGATTTCAGCCTGAGAAACTTTTAAACTGACTGAGTTGGAACTACTCTTCTCGATGGGACTTTTTCCATTACATATTTTCATGCTCACTTTTAGATATTCATTTTGAAGGGAATAATTCTTTATCCGAAAATTTAATTCAAACACAATTAAGTCTACGAACATCAATATTCACTCGATCGATAATCCAATTAATTCATTCATTCGTCTAATGAGAAAATAATTATAAATTTATAATTTGTGACGTGAAATAAGTGGTTAGAGGAATGAAATTTGTGTACTTGATAACAAAAATGTCTAGATATGATCGTCGTTTTAATCAGACATGCGCACGGTTTTTTATCAGGTCAAATTGATTTTGATCTCGGATGAACGCCCCTCCCCGTGTTTATGTGGAGAACATTAAAATAACGATTTTATGTGAGAGAATTATGTAAAATTGGGGATTGTCACTCGCCAGCGGTGCAAAATTTTGCAAGTTTGACCACTTCAAAATCAGTGTATTTTTGATATTTTTTCATACAGTCATATCAAAAATCTGAAAAAAATGAAGAGTCTTACGGGAGTAAGACGAACTTTTCCGCACGGTGGTAGTTGTGTATTTTATAAAGAAAGTTCAAAATAATATTTGTTCGATTTTTCAAGCCTTTCAAGCGGCGTAAAGTTCGAGACCAAAAAATATGTTTCAACTTTGGCAACGAAATATTTTTTAATTTAATAGCAGAAGTACCCGAGAAAAGATTTTTCACACATTCATGATGAACCCATTTGTACGACATTTGAAATACTTTTCATAACTAAAGTCACAAAAAATGTGGATTTTTGTATGGGAGCCATGTCTGTATGCTACCTTAATGGCGTGAAACTTTGCACAGGTTATTTTTTTTTCACAAAAAAATAACATTCGGAGGGTTTGGAGAAATTTCAACCAAAATTAAGGGTACCTCCCATACAAAATATTCGTTTTTGAAAATTTTGTATGGCAGGTACCCCTAATCTCTTCAAACTTTCAGAATCTTATTTTTTTGTGTAAAAAATAGTCTGTGCAAAGTTTCACGTCATTAAAGTAGCATACAGGCATGGCTCCCATACAAAAATTCAATTTTTTGTGATTTTTTCAAGGAAATTGTATCAAAAATTGATTCTATCTCAAAACTAACCTCGGATTCGGTTTTGTCGTGCCAAAAAAACCCCCAATATATATTTTTGAGTGTTTAAGTCTACATTGAGTATGACTTTTGGACGAAAATTGGAATCTTTTCCATAGGTATCACTCCAGGCAAGGATTTTTTTCCATCAACCAAAATCGCTCAAAATCTAATGATTTCTATTCCTCAGGACCCCCAATCATCCTGTACAGTCAGATTTTAAATAACTTTTCTGGGGGATGAGATAATCGATGGACAAATTTCATGCTCAAAACGGCCTCAGAAACGTCCAGAAAACATGTTTTTGAGGTTTCGTAAATTTTGACCCATTGCAATACTTTCCCCTTACACACTAAGTGTGTGCGGAAAAGTAAAATCTCTAAGGGAAGCTCTGATCGTTAAATGTCTAAAAAAATTACCCGGGGCAGATTTGATAAAAAAAAATCCGTGAGAGGCGCGCGTGTATGAACTCAAATGATTTTAATTTTAATGCAAACCTTTTTATAGATTTAATTTTGATAATCGACACAAAAGGTTTAAGCTAACAAATAGTTTAATGATGATTGTTAAAGGCAGCAATTTTATTGTCCATTTTATGGGAATAACATCGTTGGAAAGCTTTGCTTGAACTTTACAAAAAACAACAGTTTCAACACCATTCAAAAGGTAGAAAAATTTAAAATGTGGTTTCCAAAGAAGTTGCGAGCATCAAATGAAACTCAATCGCAAGTGTGTTTAAACAATTTGTGTATTGAAACAAAGTAAACTTAAAATACTAGATTAAATTAGATTTATTGACAATTTGCTGTCTACAATTTTATACAATATTGGAGTATCACAATTTTTTTGTTGCAAAGTCCAGATAAGATTTTCGTTTCTGAATTTTTTTCTAATATGCATAAAATATTTATTTTTGTAACCATTTTTTGCTGAATTTTGTAGGTATTATATTTACGCTATTATGTATATTATTATTAGTATATATTTTGTAATCGCAGTATCCAAGGCATTCGTTATTTCACCGAACGTCGACGACATTGGACTGAAAGGTTTACAGCACTGCAAATTCTCAACATGGATATTTTTTTACCTATTATAAATATTTTGCTTTTTATCTACAGATTATGGTGGATTATCGCCATTAGTGCATCGGTTTTGCTGTGCGGTTCGTCGGTGCATAAGCTATGGATAAAATGGCAAGCGAATCCAGTTACCATCAGTTTTACGGAACAGGAAACCCTCATTTCCACGATACCATTTCCGCAAGTAACCGTGTGCTCAGAGGCAAAAGTGTTCAAGAGTAAATTGGATCTTTCGGTTTTGAAACGATCGAAACCATCAAATTTATCATCAATATTGTAAATGAAATTAGCATAAAAATTGAAGAACTTCCGATAAACTCATGCTTCTCATGTTCCGTTCATTTTCACAGCAATAAAAAATGCAACGCATTGGCCCATGTGTGTGACTCTTTACTGTACTAATACGGTAATGATAAATATGCAAATGACTCATTAATCGCTGATATACCTATCAATTACCGTGTTCGGACAGTGTACAAATCACTGTGAAAAGTAGATTGATTACAACGTCTAAGGATTTGCGTAGCTATAAGCCAAATCAACGGCAATGCTTCTTCAGTTCGGAACGTAAATTGCGTTTCTTCAACATCTATACAAAAAACAATTGTGAAGTTGAATTCAATCGATCCATTTTTATTGATATGAGGCAGAATGGATAGTTTTTAATCACAATCTACATTTCGAACACTTTTTGAAGCTTTTCTTTTTAATATGGACTTTGAGTGGTCCATTATTACACATATTGTAACACTGTTTTGGCGCAAGAAGAAGCTTTTTTACACGATACTATCCGAATCAGGTGTTTTCAATCGCGATTTTAATCAAATGAAATATTTTTTTCATATCACTACGTATATTAAGGTGCAAATTAACAATAGCAAGTGCAATAATTCTTCATGACTCGAATTATTATCAATAAATAAAAGAAAAAATTTCATTACAACAATTATGTCAATTTAATTTTTTCTATTAAAATAAACATTCGCTTTGAAGGAAATTTTTTTATAGGCACTCTCAGAGATATTCACCCTTTCTAGTCATTAGGGTGGTTCGATAAGTTGGACAATTTCACAAAAATCGAACCACCCTACTAGTCATGGAGCAATAGACGACTTTATATCGTGAGATTAAAATTTGAATTGAAATAACACTTTCAAGCAATTTGAACGTTTTCGTTTCCGTATCATGAATTTTTGATAGCCCTACGCTGTTACGTATAAATGATTCGAGCAAAATCTTAACCCACCTACGAAAACAATGCGATACCCGTTTGAAAAATTACTGAAGTCTGTTAACTAATTTGGGACGTTTTGCCTTAAGCCGACTGAGATTGAAGTTGTTTTGCTTGATTTGTCAGTCGATTGCAGTAGAGACAAATATAACTTTAATCAACTACAATTGGCTATAGCCATCTAATGTTTCAAATTTGTCGTCTGTTTAGTTAATAGAATTCATTTTCAGTTGATTGCAGTTAGTTCCAAAGCAAAAAATTCATATAATTTGTAGAAAAGCGAAGCAGATTTGAAACGATAGAATAATCAAACAACATTCAAACCAAAGTTTTTGCGATTTGTCTTTAAACCGGTTCAGTAGTAGTATTTTTTATATGACTGACAAATTTAACAAAAAATACCTTTCCCACTAGGTTGTGCGAAAAAGTAAAAACAAGATCTCTTATCAAGAAATGTGTCAAAAACTGAAGATAAAAATCACTCAAATTAGTTACTCAATATAGCGTTATGATATGGGAGAAAATACCTTTTAATTGCTTTCATGTGTTTTCTAATTATAATGTTAGTCTCCAGATTCGTTTATTGTCACATGCTCCGAATGTTTTTTTTTTTTTCTATGACGTATTTATGACGTGCAATAATCAAAACTGTTACGCGTATTTTTAAACGAAATTTATGATTTAAATTGACGTTTTTTCTTGTCTTTCATGGTAACTACATCAAAATAAAGAAATCAGACCATACTTCATATCTAATGCACGTCAAAGCAAATGATTCTTTTAATTATTGCACCAATTAAATCCGCAGCGCCAAATTTGAATTTCGTTAAATGAAAATTGTATAAAAGGAGCGGTGAAATCAATGAGAAAGTTAACAAGTTCTCAACGTCACTTGAAGCATTCATTTTAAACAGTCGAAATCAAAATGAAATTCCTTGCGCTTGTTCTTTTGATCGTCGGAGCATCTATTGCTTTTCCACAACCTGGTAAGTTGAAACCAAATCGCAATCAACAAAATTTATTTTTATTGAAATTTTAATTTAAAAAAATTCCATTCAGATTTTTGGTTTGTTTTTAATCAATTTTTTTTGTGTAGGTCAATCTGGCAGTTTATTGGATCTAAACTTAGGTGCTAACATCTTAAACTCTGGAAATACTCCTAATGAAAGTGGGAAAAATGCTTCAAGCTCTGCTGGTACCATATTTGGTAACGTTGTAAGCGGTGCTTTCGATAAATCAACTAAGGCCCCAAATACCATTAGTACACTCCTCTCGTGATAAAACAGGCACTTGAAATTCGGATTTTAAATAGGTTGTTTTGTTTTTTTTTATACAGGTGGAATTTTTGATGATCTTACTGTAAACAATACATCTGGACCTGAGGAAAGCTATCCTCCTAAATTAGGCCAATCAGCGAATGCTACAAACTCAGCACTAGAAGCTGCTCAAACAGCAACCTCTTTTGCTCAGTTTCTAGCTGATTTAAGTTCGGTCAGTAGTGCTGGTTCTTCAGTTGCTAGTGCTGTATATAAGTTCATTTCAAGCTTATTTACGTACTTTTTCTAAAACGTTACTTATTATGAAATTGCAAATGCCCCAAAAAATGATAAGGGATACATGAAATTGTTAATATCACCATGTTATCAAGTGTAATAAATAATCGTCAGCTGCAAAGTAAAAAAAATACAAATGTTTAAATTCGTCATAAATCAGTGCATTTATTGAGCATAGTCCAGTATATTTTGCGCGTACTCGATATTTAATGCATTTTTGCTTCTTCTAAACTAAATCTGTTATAGAATCGAATTGACGTGAGTATCTGAAACAGAATCCGTTTGGAGGGGCTTTAACGCACAGAGCGACGCTTTTGCTTACACTCACGGGTTTTTTCGTTTGTGTACGATATACGCGCGCGCAAAGCGCACCTCACACAAAGATCATAAAACAGCAGATACTTTTTCTATCTTATCTTAACTGGTTTACAATCACTTTCATGTCTTAAAAAGGACTTTTTTGTTACAAACAATTTTCGAATAAAAAAAACGAAATGTGGACCGGATTAATTTCAATATAAACTTTAGAGCAAGCGGAACAATAGAAACTTTTTATAGATCTTCAATAATATCAACGTATTCATTTTTCCCATTCACCACTAAATCTTTAACTGCATTCAACCCCAAATGCTTCATCGTCCAATTCACTAAATATAATGCCGCATTTCTTGATTTGTTTTTGATCAAATGATAGAAAATATTTTCATCTTCTTCCATATCTTTCGCCAAAATTACGTTTTTAAGATATTCTTTGTCATCAAATGATTCCTGCATGAATAATAATATCATTTCGATCCTTTTGCTACTACAATCATACGTCCTCAGCAGGGGTCCGAGGGGTCCGATTACCCCCCTGACGAAGTGTTACCCCTTGAAAATTTTCTAAGAATTCAATTTGCTAGGGATTTTGACCAAAAAAGTGAGGACCTTTTTTTGCTCTTCAGTTTTTTTCAATGTAAGAAAAATTCTTTCAATTTGCTAGGGATTTTCGCCAAAAAAGTGAAGAGCAAAAAAAAACGAAAATTGATTACCAAAAAAAAAGTTTTCACTTTTCGATAATTTGATAAGGAGTCCGTTGGAAGGGGAACGTTAATCCGAACTCTCGAACCCCTGGTCAGAAGCTATGATTCCAAGTGTTTACTATATGTGAATTTGTAGTGACCCCCTTAAATTTTTCCCTTCAATATTTTCGCCATTATGAAATCAAATAATACCTTGACAAATCATTACTTTCTTGACATTGTCCATCAAGTTAATATCGATGAGATCGAAATTCTTTTCCAAGTGGCTATTGAAGAAACTCCAAAATCCATTTAAGTTTGCATTTGTATAAAATTTTATTACACCTAAATTGTCGGGGAAATAATATTCCAATAGAATTTTTTGTATTGGTTCGGTGTTCAAATTTCGAATGAAATATTCACTTAAAAAATACTCAGCAAAGCTACGATGGATGAACGTGAGTTGATCTGTTTTGAGTATAAGCAATCCATATCGAACAATGTCTTCTTTGGCACTCATGTTTCCAATATGCTTTTGATAATTATCTAAACAATTTAAATTTGGCATCGACATCTTCAGATAATCTAAAATTAAGCACTTTACAGCTATTTCATAGTGAATATCCCGTATTATAGTGTTTCAAATGTAATTATTTGTACAATCGTTTCCCGATATATTCCTATCAATTTTTCCCTTTTCATCAAATTTAATTTGACATTTTTTCTTTACAAATTTTTCGTATATTTCAAATTGGCTTATTTTTTCATGAAATTTTACACTTTAATTCAGAAATAATTCAACAAACATCATGAGATGAAGTGGAGTGTTCAAAAAATCGCTATTTTTAATAAAGAGTCTTACGGGAGTAAGACGAACTTTTCCGCACGGTGGTAGTTGCGTATTTTATAAAGAAAGTTCAAAATAACATTTGTTCGATTTTTCAAGCCATTCAAGCGGCGTAAAGTTCGAGACCAAAAAATATGTTCCAACTTTGGCAACGAAATATTCTTTAATTTAATAGCAGAAGTAGCCAAAAAAAGATTTTTCACACTTTCATGATGAACCCATTTGTACGACATTTGAAAGTATTCTATTTTCTAACAAAACACTATAAAAAATATGACTGACGTTAATTGACAGCCTGATAGTAAAACCAACACTTAATTTTCTTATGCGTAAAAATAGCATGTATTTTTGTTTGGAGTAAAACAATACCACATATCATAATCGAGAGCAAAAATTCAACACACAAAGTTGAGAGCAAAACCACGACATACGCAAAATCAGAGCAAAAGTGAATAAGCGATATGTCGTGTTTTTGCTCTCAAGTTTGTCTATAGTTCTTTTGCCCGCAACAATCGGAGTTTTGTATTTAAGCCGAAAAAACGGATTTTTTTATGAGCGAGGCGGACCATATATCTACGATCATGTAGATGATAAAAAAATCGCGAAAAATGAAAAAAATAATTAATTTTTTTTTCTTCGATGCTCAAATACTACTCAATTTTCTGTATCACCTGGTGGAATCAGAATGAAAAAAATCGCATTCCATATCATCCAAATCACGATCTGGACTTTTTTCACTGTTTGAGTGCTCTATACCGAGTCTCCGAGAGTTTCATATAAACTCGCTATGTGATGCCTATTGAATAGTAAGCGAATACCAATCGTGATTGAATCAATAGGCGTCATTTGGCTATTGCAAGGCGAGTTTATATGAAACTCTCGGAGACTCGGTATAGAGCACAAAAAGTGAAAAAAAATTATTTTTTTTTCTCATTTCTCGAATACCACTAAATGGTCTATATCATGTGGTGTGATCAGAACGTAAAAATTTGTCATCTCTGTCACCCAAATCGTTGTCTCAATGCTATCTCGCTCCCCCTTGCATGTATAAATGTTTACAACGGACATTCTATTCACACACATCTCGCACTTATATTTTGCTGCGCAATAAAATTATTAACAATGTATTTGGTCATCGCTTTGAGTTTTGTGTCGATGACTTTTATTGCGCAGCAAAATACAAATGTGAGTTGTGTGTGAATATAGAATGTCCATTGTAAACATTTATAGATGCAAGGGTGAGCGTGATAGCATGAGACAACGACTTGCCATTTGCCAAGCACGATTTGGGTGAAAGAAGTAGCAAATTTTTCACAGCAAATGATATAGAGCATTTAGTGGTGTTCGAGAATTGAGAAAAAAAAATGTTTTTTTCTTTCACTTTTTGTGCTCTATACCGAGTCTCCGAGAGTTTCATATAATCTCGCCTTGCAATAGCCAAATGACGCCTATTGATTCAATCACGATTGGTATTCGCTTACTATTCAATAGGCATCACATAGCAAGTTTATATGAAACTCTCGGAGACCGGTATATAGCACTCAAACAATGAAAAAAGTCCAGATCGTGATTTAGATGATATGGAATGCGATTTTTTTCATTCTGATTTCACCAGGTGATATAGAAAATTGGGTAGTATTTGAGAATCGAAGAAAAAAAATTTAATTATTTTTTTCATTTTTCGCGATTTTTCATACCATCTATATGGGAAGCTTGTATGAAAAACACGGAAGACCGCTGAAATGACATTGACGTAGATCCGTATCCGATATATTTGGCGTTTGTCATTTCAGCGGTCTTCCGTGTTTTTCATACAAGCCTCCCATATAGATGGTAAAAAATCGCGAAAAATGAAAAAAATAATTAATTTTTTTTTCTTCAATTCTCAAATACTACTCAATTTTCTGTATCACCTGGTGAAATCAGAATGAAAAAAATCGCACTCCATATCATCAAAATCGCGATTGGCATTCGGTCACTATTCAATGGGTATCACATAGCAAGCTTATATGAAACTCTCGGAGACTCGGTATAGAGCACTCCAAAAGTGAAAAAAATCCAGATCGTGATTTGAATGATAAGGAATGCGATTTTTTTCATTCTGATTTCACCAGATGATACAGAAAGTTGAGTAGTGTTTGAGAATTGAAGAAAAAAAATTTAATTATTTTTTTAATTTTTCGCCATTTTTTACCATTTACATGGGAGGATTGTATGAAACACACGGAAGACCGCTGGAATGACACTGTCGTATCACACGCGTATAAAAAAATCAATTTTTCGGCGTAAAAACAAGATCCCGATTGTTGCGAGGAAAAAAAACTATAGACAAAATTGAGAGCAAAAACACGACATATCCAGCCTGCGGGCAAAAACAAGTAATCGATATATTGTGTTTTTGCCCTCAGTTTTTTACAAACTCTTTTTGTTCTAAAATTTGAAAGTTCTCTATATACGCTGAAGAATTTGCATCATGTTTTTACGCTCAAGTTCTTCCATTTCGGTTTTACTATTAGGCTGTCAATTTTGCCATAAAAATTATTTTTGAAACACTTTTCATAACTAAAGTCTTTTGTGACTAATTTTTTTGTAATTTGGATTTTTGTATGGGATGGATATGTCTGTATGCTACCTTAATGGTGTGAAACTTTGTACGGGTTATTTTTTTCACAAAAAAATAACATTCGGAGGGTTTGGAGAAATTTCAACCAAAATTAAGAGTAATTCAGCCTTTGAGCTAAAAACTGAAAATGTTGTATGGGAGGTACCCCTAATTTTGATTGAAATCTCTTCAAACTTTCAGAATGTTATTTTTTTGTGTAAAAAATAGTCTGTGCAAAGTTTCACGTCATTAAGGTAGCATACAGGCATGGCTTCCATACAAAAATTCAATTTTTTTGTGATTTTTTCAAGGAAACTGTATCAAAAATGGATTGTATCTCAAAACTAACCTCGGATTTGGTTTTCTCGTGCCGAAAAACCCCCCAATACATATTTTTGATTGTTTAAGTCTACATTAAGTATGACTTTTGGACGAAAATTGGACTCTTTTTCATAGGTATCACTCCAGGCATGACATTTTTTTCCATCAACCAAAGTCGCTCAAAAGCTAATGATTTCTATTCCTCGGGACCCCCAATCATCCTGTAAAGTCAGACTTAGAATTAAGTTTCTACGATGAGCGCAATCTTGCTAACAAATTTTGCGTACGACGTACAGATTAACATAAACCATGCTCAAATCGGCCTGATTCGGGTTCTCTGACCTCAGAAACGTCCAGAAAACATGTTTCTGAAGTTTTCAAAATTTTGACCGATAACAATACTTTTCACCTTACACTATGTGTGCGGAAAAGTAAAATTGGTCACCCATAAAGTGGTATATGAATTTTCGACTCTCTGCCTGATATCTATTTCTCTGATAAAGCGCTTGAGCTCATCATGCCTGTCGGAAGATTCTTTGGTAAATTTTTTTTTAATAATTTCCAGCCCGTCCAATTCCACGCCATTGAGAATTTCGAGCATTTTTTCGTAGGTTCGTTGAGAAACCTTACCATAAGCATCTCGGTCATAATATAAAAGATATGACTTCAATTATCTTTTCAAAAAGTCAATTTGTTCTGTATCGTCCAGCGGAACTAAATTAAAAGATTACGACTTTAATTCGAATTCGAGCTCTGCTGTTACGTGAATCCGAGTGGTGATTAAAATTTGTTTAACGCCACTTTGTTGAAGGGCCTTGAACAATTGAATCGTCTCCGATTTATGTATGGGACTGATTTCATCAACGGTATCAAATAAAAGTACAATTTAGAGTTTCAATGGTGTATTATGTTTACTAGCGGTGTGCCCAAATGCCAATTTGAAAAGTGTTTTGAATCATTCTTGGCGGTGACGGGTATCACCAAAAAATATGTGATCTTCGATAAATTCCGATTTTTCTTTAAAATGTTTTTTAAAATATTTAACCAAATTGTCTTCAGTGGTTGTAGAGACCAAAATCAACTTTAACATTTCACTCGTCCAATCGCATAAAAACGTAACTGTCACGTTGTGTATATTTTTTTTGCCAGAGTTTGATGCACTTTTAGTGTACCCAATCGCGTTGACCTTGTACAAAGACAGAATATATTTTTGTTGTTAAATCCCGATAAAAATGAACTGAGCTGCTCGAAATCTTCTTCGAATCCAAATCCATAGTCTTTCAATTTTTCACTGAACTTCATACTTAGACCGAGGGTAATCAAATAGCTAATTTTTTTTTTCCAAATTCTTGAAGAGGGTTGCAGCATTTTCACCGGAATAAAAGTCGACGCCGTGCTTATTATATTTCTTTAAAAAATCGAGCATATTTTTCTCAAAAGAGGCATTCACTAGATCAGCACTTTTTAAATTAAAGTGGTCACCCAATTTAACATTGAACAATAACTTTATTGGTGACAATGCGAAATTTGTTCAAAAAGTCGGTAAAATATTCATCAAAATTTTCGTTACTTGACACTTCAGAAGTTTTGAAATGTTTTTCCAATTTTTCTTTGTCATTTGCTGTTTGACAATTCAATTTGAATTTCTTTGCACCAAAAGTGCTGTCTTTATATTCGATATATAAGATTTTATCATCTTTTAAGACATCTTCCTCGGCAAAAAGTCTCTTCCATTCGGAAATGTCCTGCTTATTTCTTCCCACTGCGAAATCAAATGTTGTGTTTGTAATAATGATAAAATCTTTTAAGTGCAGCCGATTAAACACGGGATTCTTTTGAATTTTACAAAACTATTCAAAATATTTGATTATGCCAAAGTCATTGTCTTTCGAGATCAGATCGGAAATTTTGATCGTCATTTTTTGTGGGTCTAGTCTATGTGTGGCTTGTACAAAGCGACACGTCCACAAACTGTCATGTTCATTTTTATATTTGAATACTACGTCGTCGAATTTTTCGGCGTCAATCATTTCGGTGGCAATGCGATATTTATAACCCAAATCACGTCCACGCATCGCAAAGAGAACCAACAATTTTAACTGGTAGACAGTGCCGTGCAAGCTGGTTTTTAAACCAGACGCATTGTACGTACGTGGATCATTGTCTATCATCAGTTTTTTGGCATTTTCATTTACACAAATATTATTTGTTCTTTTTTTACCAGATGTACTCGACGCACAAATCACTTGTCCATTGATTTCCATGATAAATGTTCTAAAACACACTTTTCAATCAACTATTCAGGAAGAACGTATTAATTACGAGAGTCAAGCGCAATAAGGGCACACTATATAAACGCCATCTATTAATAACCGACTAACTACAATGTAAATCAAACGTATCTGTTTCCCCTTTTTATTTACTTTTACATTGTAGTTAGCCTGTTTTACAAAGATGTCGTTTCTGTGTAAGATGTGTGACGTCACAATGTATTTATATGGATAGCGCTCGACTCTCGATTAATTACGACTGTTGGTCACTATTTTGCACACCGACCATCTATTTCACCTCACTTTAAATGATATTATACTAAAGTACTAAATACTTGCACCGGTTTACTTGATATCCACATGCGATTAAATAAATTGAAAGATATTATAAGAAACTTTCACAATTCTCAAGACGAAAGTTAATAAAATGCCTGTAATTATTTTTCGTGTTTAAACCGTTTTTATAACAAAGATGTTGCAATTTTAGTGACTCAGGTACAAGTGACTTATTTCTTTGGTGTTTTAACTTTGAATGCAAACAAAAATATAAAGGATGACATCACATTTTATTTGAGAAAACGTATATCGCACGCCTATATCGATACAAATACCAATGCTGAAACTGTGGTGCGATCAGAGCGCGCGATCAATGCGATGCAAGTTCAACCTGTCTTTTGTTTTGTTTGACATAGTTTTTGTACATTTATATTTATTAATGTTTTATTTTATTGATCTGATCGCTAATGAATGCATAATGATTGTTTGCAGCACAAATTGCTCATATGAAGTATCTGTGTACGGCGTTAAAAGCAAAAAACGTACACCGAAAGAATAGTACAAAAGTAAATATCGATGCCATTTAGATCCTTTTCCAAGCGGCTATATTGGAGAAATTCCAAAATCCAACTGAACATGAACTTGTATAAAATTTTATTATGGGGAAATTCTCTAGGTGTCCAAATTTTGAATGAAAAATTCTCTTAAAAAACACTCACCAAAGATACGATTGAAGGTGAGTTGGTCTCTTTTGAGTATAAGCAATTTATATTGAGAAATGTCTTCTTGCACATTCAAAAATGCCTTAGAATTGATATTTTTCTCATTCACCTTTTTTCAAGAATTCCGGACCAAGTTTCAGTGCCTCCCTCATATGAGGTCAAATCTTACAAAGTCGATTTTACACTTTTTTGGTAAGGAATTCGTGAAAATGAAAGATAATTGATTCCGAATTTCGGGGTTTCAGGTCAAAAATTTACAGTGAAAGATATGTAATAAATGCATGTTGTGGATCACAGTGCGGAAAAGTTCATCTTACGGATGTAGGACATTTTATTCATGTTTTGAATTTTCGAATAAATCTGTTTGCATCACAGATTCACAATGTAATGAATTTTTCCCTTTTTATGGCAATTGTTTTGAGTTTGTAATCTATTTTAGAAATGATGCTAGAGATAGTGGCCAAATAATGGGCTTCAAACATTTGGCCAAACAATCTGTTCGATCCAATCCAAATAATAAGCCACTCTTGTATACACGGCTGGCAGACTAGATGCACATCCACTACCGAACGATACGATGCCAACAACAACGGCTGTCGCGGTTCTATTGGGCTGATAATACTGTAGTGGACCACCACTGTCACCCTGACAACTATCATTCCTTCCAGCTGGATCATACGCACAATATTGACCTCCATTCAGACCATTTCGCAGAGATGCATCGTTCGACAGACGAAACCAATTTATAAGTGTTAAATTACATCGCGATAATGGCATCGATATCAGTTCCGTTTTAAGTAATCTGTTTGATCTCATGAGTCCTTAAAATGCAAAAGACAATTGGTTAAAGTTTCTCCACGTTTAAATTTAAAACAATACAACTTACGTTCGGTCGATGTCGAACCCCAACCGGTAACAGTGAGTTTCACATGTGGTGGTTCATCGCGCAAATCAATTTGCAAACAAGCAGGTCGAATATATTCTGAAAATATAATTTCGTGTCGGACGCGAATAAGAGCAATATCGTTGACTTTTGTTAGTCTCGAGTGACCCGGATGAGGAATAATGTCCTATATTCAAAATAATTAAAATAATTAGCTCAATTCTGATACCATATGTGAATGTTTAAGGGTTTACCTTTATATCGCGATTTTGGGCTCTAATTTCTTCACCATCCGCATTGGTCAAAGATACCTGTTCAATATTGAGATTTGATTATATCAAAAATGAAGAAAAAACGCATTTTAAAATGTGCCATCACTCTTTTTTACCTTTCCCAATCGAATCACTACCGGTCGTCGTACCTTCACACAATGGGCGGCAGTGAGAATAAAATAGTTGGAGATGATGGTGCCACCACAATCAAAGGTCACCGTGTAGTTTGAATTGAGGTAGCCAAGAGCAGCCTGAGAATAAAAGTGAAATTGATTTATTTGAGAAGTAAAAAAAACCTCAACGAGATATACCATCCAAGGGAACTCATTGTCGCCGGCCAATTCACCATTTATAATACGATCCGTTGAATGCGTCTGGCAGGCTAGTAAGACAATAAAAGAAAGCATTAACATTCAGTTGAAAATTTAGAGAAACCAAAATTAAAAATTACCCGTTTCTGCTGGCCGAATTCGACGAACTGTTTTCAAGATTTCAATGATTTTCGCATTTCCTTTTCTAATGGCAATAGCCATTGATGTGTCATTGTTATTATTTTTCAATTTGACATCGGCTCCATACCGCATTAAAATCTCCACAATCTTCTCAAAACCTGAAATGCAAACAAAAATGTTTCACAACAATAAACAAATTAATTTCCTTCCCTCTTGACACCTTGTTCTATGGCCGCCTGGAGTGGTGACCATCCACCGTTCTTTTGAATGTTGACATCAGCACCATTTCGGGCTAACACTGCAACGCTGTTTTCACGCCCTGAATTTAATTGGAAAAGTAAATTTTCATTTCTTTTATGTAAAAACAAAGTATATAGCTAAAGCAAGGGAGGAAAAAAAACTACCATGCCACGTAGCGCTGTACAGTGGGGTTGCTCCGTTGCTGCTCTGAAGATTAACGTTCGCTCCATTCATAAGTAATAATTGAACAATTTGCACATGACCTACGCAAACAATTTTGATACAAATGTCATGACACATGAAATACATTTGATTTCTTTGAAAAAATCATTGAGCTTAGGAGTACCTTTCTCCGCGGCAGCGCTTATTGGTGTCCATCCATCCTTATTTGTTATATTTACATTGGCACCTTTTGCGA